CCTGCTGAAGGGAGCTGTGGCAGGCACTGCCAGCCCATCCTAGTCCATAGCTGGTGCTCCCCACCCTGGCTGCTTGGGGAAATGGATTAGAGAACTCACCGAGTTGAAACGTTTCCCAGCAAAAAAAGAGAAGGGAAAAAAATATTTTTAGCAGCACCAGTTCTCAGTCCAAATCCCTCCACAACCACACACACATTTGTGCCAACACAGCACAGAGGGCAGAGTAAAATCAAGCATTCAGGGCACAACTGTGTATCCCGCTAGTATTTCCAAGAAGGCGTTTGTCAAGTGAGGCTCCCTGAGTGCTCTGTGAGGCTGTTGTGATCCATGGGATGCTTCATTCTGAGTATCTTGGACATCTCCAATAGGATGAATCATCCTCTGGCAGTGCCTGACTCACCACTGACTACAGAAGGAGTCTAGGTGACTACTTGCTTAATTTTTGGACAGTTAAATTTACATTAGACAAATCCCATGCAAAGTATACACAGACCAATGAAAATTGCACAGTTAATTAGAAAAAAAAAATATAAGGGTTTATATAGTTTACTATTAATGTCTGTACTGCAGAAAGAACTAATTTTGGCAAGCAAACTGCTTTAATATCATGTAGATTTTGTGAATGTTCTGATAGATGTTTTTTAGTGTCTGGGAAAGTTCAACACAGGCTGTGGCTGGATTGTCTGTAAACAGCAGAGAGTTCCAAACTAATAATTACCAAATAATTATGTAAGAGCAAGGAGTTTGTAAACTGCATGTGGTGCCATCTGTGTCGTCTCCTAGCTGTCTATCTTTTGCTAGTCTTATGCCCAAAATTCAGCAAACAAAAAGGCTGCCTTTCTCTGCACTGCATGAAGCCATATGCAGGGGTCCCTGATTTGGGAACTCAGTGAGATCCTGGCCAGCACTGTGCTTAATCCTCTCAAAAATGTCATCAACTGAAATTTTTACATCAGTCTCTGAAAATGTCACTGATTTGTTTAACTGACAGAGCTCCAGGGGGGGCTTTGCAAATACAGGTCTTCTACAGGTACAATGATACTAGCCAAATGTAAACTGAGGAATGGGGAGGAGCAGCAAATTACAGAGCATCACATTTAGCAACTCTCTGCCTTAAGCCATTTTCTTGTTTCCACATTGTCTCCTTCTCGATATGTCTTGGCATCTTTAAGAACACAGGTAAGGTTTATAGTCTGGGAGAAATCTGTTTTAGGAAGTAACTTGGAAAAAATTAGCATCTGTGATTGAAGAGCAAAGCTAAAGTTTTTCTCTATAATTTAAGTGTACCTTTAATAGGTCCATCAACCTGAGTCTTTGTGTCTGAAGAACAACTACCCTCCTAGAGATTTGCTCTTCTTCTGTGATTTTGCTGCTGGCACATCAGAGGTTTCCCACCCAGCTCTGTGAGGGAGAAGCATCCTCTGGAAGCAGGGGAGGCTGGCTCCCAGGGCTCTTTCCAGAGAAGGATTGCCCTCTATTGCACAGTCGAGGTATCGTTCTTACCCTGAAATTTACTGTAACACCATCTTCTGCTGCTTTGCAATGGATTTTTTGAAAAGAAGGTGGTTTGGAAAGGAAACACGTAGAAAACCACATATTGGTTTACCTTCCTCTTGCATTTTTAAGTGGTACATCAGAGAAAGTGAACAGCATTAGATATGAAAACTCAGATCCCAGTGTTTAATTCCATTCTAGTCACAAACTTTTTTCTTTTTTTGAGTTCCTCTTAGAAAAGAGTTTCAAACCTGCTTGAACTGGAAACAGCCTGCTATGTCACTTAAAATATATGACGACAGAACTTAGGACCATTTACCCCTCAGGATGGTTCCATCCTGTTTCCTCTGTCTATCAGCTACCAGAAATACCACAACACCTTCCTCCACAGCAACAAACCTGTGCCTGAGCATTAGGGCTTCTTCTCCATTCTTTGTATCTCTGCCCAAACTCTCTTAGTTATGATGCCTATTAAAAATCAACTAATTGATAATGGTCAATGAGAATGGGTAGTCACTAATATATTTTGAAGTGAAATCTTTCTTAATTCATTGTCTGTGGAGACTAAAAGAAGTTTAGCATGGACTTAGAGAGGAACAGAAATAGCACAGCTTTGAGTACTTTCAAATATCCTGTTATTTTTCATTTTTAAAATAGCTGCATATCTACAGAAGAACCTGAACATGTTGTGTTTCATTTTCCCTGAGCCTTTGCTTGTCATCTAACAACCACAAATTTAAAATTATAAGCCCAGGATCCTCATTTGGGGTCAGTGGGGTCATAAAATCATAAAATTATTTGAGCTGGAAGGGACCTTAAAGATCATCTCAGTCTAACCCCCCTGCTTGGGCAGGGACACCTCCCACTAGACCAGGTTGCTCAGAACCCCATCCATCCTGGTCCTTTGCACAAAGTCCTGACAAAGGCTTTTCAGTGATGCTTCAGTATAAATATTAAAGTTGCTCATCCATGCAGTTCTGTTGTGCTTCTTCACCCAAGGCTCATGGAGCACTTAAAAGAAAATATATCTGAGCTGATTTTTAAAAAACACTGCTAGAAGACATAAACCAAGACAAGAAGAAAAACAAGACAGATTTCTTTAGAGAGAAAAGATAGAGGCACATACATGGCTGGTGTCTGCCTTGCTCTCGCATGGAACTGGCATCATGTATCCAAGAATTGAGAGCTGCTCAGCAGAATCCTCCAGCACAGCAGCAAACTGCAGAGCTTCCAGATGAGTCAGTTTTTCCATTTCTTTAATCTCTGGGCTCTTGCTAGGAGGAACAAAGCCAAAAGATACCAGTGAAAAAGATGTTACTGGGTAAGTAACAGTAGTTTAAACTAAAGGTAGGCCTGAAATAGCCTTATTTGCAGCCTTCTATATACTTCCCTTGCTTTGTTTATAGCCTTTCATACACTGTTTATAAGAGGAGCCAGGCTCTGCTAATGGCTGCATTCAGGGACAGTGGGAATGTTTAGCTTTCACAAAGCAAAGCAGGTCCTGGTCCCTCCTACAGCAGATCTGGGTAGACAGGCTGAGAAGAGAATGGGTATGAAGGTACAAACTGGGTGAGGTGACCTCACCATTCAGTTCAAGTGTTTCATGGTGGCCTTTGTTCTTTGAGAAACAACAGAATGAAGGGTCCTTTTGAAAATGAAAACAAAAATGCCACACCTCATAAAATCTCAGGTGGTGAATCCTCATGCTGTAATTACTGCATTGCCTGGACTTTTTAATGATCCAAATCCCCTCAAGCAGGAGCTGTTACCACCTTAAGATGTCGACAGGCAAACAAGAACCAATATCTGGACTAAGTAAGCTACCTTTAACATTCTATGTTGGTTTATTTAAAGTTGCACATCAAATGTGAAGCTGCTCTGATGTACATTTGAGCATTCCTTTGCCTTGTTTACAGATGGAATGTTGTGAAAGTGCATCCAGGGAATTAATCACCATTAATCCAATTAATCCATTCACTATTAATCCATGTGAATTTGGTCCATTTAGAAAAATGCCTAAGAAAACACCTGCATAAGAATTGAGATTTTTAATTAGACAATCCCACCAAACCCTACACTCACAAAAAAGATATTCCTTATTTCACACCTAGCACAGTTTGAGTCTGACATGACTGAGATCCTGAATATCGTGACAATGGAAGCATCAGCATCCACTACCAAAATCTTCATTTGGCTGCTAAACCTGGATTTGTGCCATCTGTAAAATCCTGGAATAAACATATTCTAGGTCTGCAGAATATTACAGTCCAGTCTGTAAGCATGCCAAGGAGATACATCAGACAATGCCTGTTAGCCTGGTTAATAGGATAAAACAGGGCTACACTGGATGAAAATTAGAGGTTTAGATACAGGTATGCTCAGGATGACTGGAACTTAAGCATAAGCAACTTTACAAGTGTTTTTAAAAATGCATAGTTACTATAACCTCTCTGAATCTATTACCATTTGTCCTTGTCCTTTTTTGGTTTTTTTTGTTAAAGAAAATACAGTAATTTACAGTTGGAATATGAAATTCATTTTACTTGGGCAGAAAATATGGGTCATCTGGCAGTGTAGGCTTTAGTAGGTGTCTATGAGTATCATGATAGGTAAAACAAACAAGCATAACTTAGATTTTATGTATTTGCTTCTTGATGCCCATGATGATGCCACATGTGTTGAAACACCCTGTCCTTTGTAAAGGACACAGCTCTCCTTGGGCACAGGGCCACAACTAGAAAGCCAAGTGTGTGACTGGCAGTGTTTTTCATGCCAGCTACAGGTTGTAGTCCATGAGACTGGAATCTTAGTCTCTTTTATCCAATTAACTGAGTCATATCTCAGAATGTAAGACTACCAAGTGCATAGTCTTGCATTAAGGTTTATAACAAGGATTTCTGCTCTGAGTGGGGAGCACAGGGTGAAGAAAAGGTTCAGGGGTGGCCTGGCTCCAGTGTTATGAACCATGAGTAATGAAAAGTGCTGTGATGCAGCAGGACTGGTGTTTTCAGTAGGTCGAAAGAAGTACAAGTGCTGCTGCAAAAGGCATCAGTAAACCTCAGAGGAGGCAGGGTGCATGTTTCTAGTTGTTTGTGTTAAAAACAGGTACAGGAGAGGACTAGTGGGGTGATCATAGGAATAGAAATTCTATTTTACAGGAGGTTAAAAAAATTGAGGACTGTGATTACTCTGTAAATACATATGAAGGGCAGAGAACCAGGGAGAGACAGAGCTGCTTTAGTTAAATGATAATACTGATCCAGGGTCAACGGAATGTAATTTCCCCTAAGCCAGGCAATTATGATAAGATTTCTAACTTCTGGATGAATGAAGATATGGAATTGCCTTTCAGACAAGATAATGGTAGAGGCACCCTAAATTATTTCAAACAGTTTGCTTAAATCATGGCAGGAAAAGATAATAGCAAAGGAGTGATTCTGAATGTTATCAATATGTTTACATATTCTTCTTGTACAATTTCTACTGACTTCTAATTAGTCCCAGTGTTCAGGGCTTTTGATAGTCACCTGTAACTAATAAGGAACTGATTTCCTCCCTTTGCTTCTGAGATTTTTTCCTCTCCTTTCTCTTAATTATAAAAAAAAAAAATGCTACATCTTGAGACAGGCACCTGCTTATATTATGAACAAATAAATCATTAATAATCTGTATAATAAACTGAAAGCATCACATTTCCTTTCTTTGCAACCTCAGAATAAATGATAAATGTGGAAATGCACAAATTAAGTATTTTTACATAGAGAAAGTCAGACAATGTCTCTTCCAGTCAACAGACACTAATAAAATGTTTTTGTTTTACTTTTTATCATTTTAAGAAATCTACTGCAATCCATATTTTGAGTCTAAACAACATAAGAATAACCCATTACACGTGCTGTCCTAATGCTAAAAATCTGGTGAAAAAAGAAGAGTTGGGAGAGAGCTGTGCCAGATAATGCTGACAGCATTCTTGAAAGAAGAAATAACACTTGCAGCTCTCATAGGAAAAAGTGACTTCTTTGGAAATAAAGGAGGATGCAATAGCTTTTCCTGTATCCCATCAGCAGCTTATGTCTAGGAGGGAATTAACTCCATATACAATGTGTGTTAAGAAAGCTCACAGCTGGAATCCTCCTCTAAATTCTGCTCGTTTGCTTCTCCTATATATCTCCTCTTATAACCATATCCTCACTAAGCAGATGCATGTGCCAAGCCAGAACACTCTGGGCTTATGTTAACTTGGAAGTGAGATGTAAACCACTGTCTGGGGCATAATAAACACTAGAAATAGGGAGCTGCTCTCCCTGGATTTTGATGCTAAGGCAGTGCCCACAAACCATTCTCATGCAGACATTGGCATCGACCTTAATCACTGTGCTGTGCTGAACTCCTTCATTAAACTCTATTAATAATAATTTTTTAAAAAGAGGTATGTGAAGGATTCAGCTTCTCCCAAGAGTCTAGGTTGACATTCTTTCCCTGCTGATCTAAAGGGAAAGAAAAACATATCAAGAAATAATTTTTAAAACAACTGTATAAAAGGTCTGGCCTTATGTTCCTTTGGGGATTGCAACTGCCTCTGCTCTGTGAGAGCCCTGGATGCACATCTCTCCCATCTTGCTGTCTGAGAAACTGAAACAGCTTCAAAGGCAGCATTTTTTGCAGCATTCCTTTTAGTCAGTTAAGCAGTTACTGATAAATTCCAGTGAGAAAATGCAAAGCTGAGACTGTTGTATCTCCTTCAGCTGTTTGGCAAATGATTAGCAAAGAGGGATTCTGAATATCCACATTGGCAGTGGCTGAGACATAAATCAGAAATACCTTAGTTTTTACCAAAAAAATGTCTCCTAGACAAATAAAATAGTGGTGGCCTTACAAAACTCTGCCTAGCACTACAAATGGAAAGGAAAAAGGCAAAAGAAAAAAAAAAAAGAACCTTGAAAAGCTGAAGTAATCTTGGATTTGGTTGAGAGACACAATTCAGGTTTCATCCTGGCTGCAGAGAAACCCTTTCCACTCCTCCTCTCTGATGGCAGGAATGAAAGACCTGGTGCTACTTTTAGCTATGTGTCCCAAGTGGGACTAAATCTGCATGGAGCAGGGAAAGATAAGATTTAGGAGCATTTGTTGGCTCTGGCCTCTCTACTGCTGGAGAACAGGGAGTTTTGACAGGTAGTTTATTCTCCTCAAAGCAGGGATTGCCTTCCTCCCACCAGGGATTCCCAGGACATATCTGATACTGCTAACTGGGTAGATCACTGAGTGTTACTTTGCATTTTACTTCTTTCTTAAAGTAGAAGCCAACAGGATAATTCTGAGAAGTCATAATATTCCATCCCTCCTCTGTTCCTACTTCCTAATCATTTCACCTATGGAAACCCCCTGCTTACAGATGCTTACAAGGTATTGACCCTGCCTTGACCCCGGCCCAGCAAGGTACAGAGAGACTTCCTCTCCTCCTGGATCAGGATCCTACTCCTCGGCCCAGGCTCAAGGTCTCCACGTCCCAGTGTCAAGATGCCAGCAGGATTTACTGCTGAGATCCCACTTTCCTCAACATCACTCCAGACACACGTTCAGATGCAGCTTAAGACACATAGGAACAAAGCTACAGTGAAAGTCCAGCCGGCCAGAGCACATTTCATACTGGAATAAGCTCCTAAATCGCTTCAAGCGCCCTGAAAATGCCCCCGAATTTCTGGCCCTGCGAGGGAAGCGCCAGAAACCGGGAGCGAACTTTGGAAAAGGATGGAGGACCTGCTCCCGCCTGTCCGTGCTCAGGAGAAGAGAGGAAGGCGAGATGTCATGGCAGGGCCGGGAGCTGCGGGAGGCAGGGCCGGTTACACCGGGACCGGCGCTTCCCGAGGTTGTTCCTCCCCGGGACGCGGCGCCGCTCGTCTCCATGGCAACCGCGGGGCCGCCCGCGCGGTGCCTGCTCGGCGGGTCGGGAACCGAACCCTCCCTCCCCGCTGCCCGGGGGAGAACGAGCACTCGGGGAGGGGCGAGAGGCGGTTCGGGGCCGGTACC